TTGGAAGCATCAGCGGAATCAACAGAGCTCGAGTCATGGAGCTCAACAACCCGGAGCCAGACCGGCCATTAGCTGCGCACTTTCGGGCATCATGTCTTGATTAGGGAAAGGCAAATGGCATAATTTTGAGGGAGTGGTTTCAGGAAAGGTAGTGTGTAGTGTTGCTGGACATTGAGGTAAAGGTTGTCTTCTATCACCCAAGGTGCAACAGCGAGGGGTGCCTGCTTGCAAGGACATCTTGCTGCAGCTGGTGGATGGGGTGGTGGAATCTGACACCCCAGTCCTGATCGTAGATGCTTTGCCAAACAGGCTTCTGAAATTCAAAAGAGACTCTCAATAGTAGTAGGTCCACTTTCCCACCAAAAAGGTGTCTTTACTGAATTTTGTTCAGAGTCTGTTGAACCAGTCAAGAAGAGCACAACTATGTCCGACCATGTTCTCCTTTGAGTCACCCTGCAAGGTTCTCAGAGTGGAGCACCGCGACCTGGGAACTGCAGCTTGAGAAAATGAACGGTACCACGAGCACCCATCCAAACTTCTTTTATATGGGAATCTATCAGGCAGATGAGTGCGCCATGATGCAGAAGGCTCTAGAGAGTTTGACTGGCAAAGCCATGAGCGGTTGGTGGGACACATCGACTGAAGCTGGGCCCAAAACGCGGCCCAACTGCCAGTTTTCAGTTCCAACGCCCTCTCTCAATGTGTATGCAGTGGCAGATTCAAAAGTCAAGTCTCTTGGAACAGCTTGGATCAACTTGTTCTTGTAATAAGAGGGTACTGCCCATAGATCCATAACAAACTTTTTGTTGGGATATTATATATTAAAATAATAGCCGCACCTCCAAAACAACTATATAATACTCTGAGGCTCCCAGACCTGGTACTCAACCAGTACTCTGGCACCCACTTGGATGATCTCAAGAAGAAGGTGGATGACCTTGCCGCCAACACGCGTCTGTCTGCTGCTCTCAAAGGCAACTTTGCAACAGGGGCAATTGTTGATGCGGGCACCACATCGCGACCGACTGCTGAGCCCACCAGAACCGTGGCAACTCCCGATTGGGAGGGGGATTCCCCACCATTCTTCGAGACCAGGGTGAACTTTGAAGCCATTCCCATTGGCACATTCAATGCGGACTACTCGTCACTAAGGATGTGATATGACAATTTGTCAATCTCTTGGATTATTTTGGTATTTGAGCTCCCAAGTGTGAAACGGTTGTTGACATGTTTTTGCTCACCTAAGGTTGCAGTGCCAAGCCAAACTCCCCAAAGTTGAAGGCCTTCAGATTGCCAAAGACGCTGCATCCTTCTATCTGGTCAACCGCACCACATCCAACATTGAGGTTAAGCCTCAAGAGCTGTTTGGATTCAATGTGGGCACCTTTGTGGAGCTTGCTGCAGACACCGTTGGAGGCTAGGTTCAACAAAGTTTAGGCATCTGTTGGAGGCTAGGTTCAACAAAGTTCCTTTCATACCCCCGACCTGTTCCGCACCATGCTGCACCTGCACGTTGTGAAGGAGATGGCCTGCCGGACCATTTGCCGTGGCTTGTGAAATCGGACAAGCACACAGTCTGTTTGGTGAAGACCACTGGGGACACTACAAGCAAGGAGCTGATGAGCATGTCTGATGTCTTCTGCTTTATTACCCGCACTCGGGGCGTGACAGAAGCTCGCTTAGCAGACCACGATATGGAGCAAACCGTCAAGGAGAGCCTTTTTTGTTTCACTCTTTGATTTTGAAACAGTTTTGTCTGACTGTGATCTCTCCAACCACCCTGAGAGGAGGCTGGTGGTGTCAGAACCCCTCGTCACTTCAGGTACGGCATCACGCCAAAGATCAAGATCCATGCCTTCAAACCAAAGGAGGTCAGCGACGTGGAGGTTCTCAACCTCAGGAGCTCGGTGATGGGTGCCATGTTCCATACAGCTCTCAACAAGCTGCCGTCCTCCAAAAACATCAGTGTGGTGTGGGAGGTTGGGTGGCATGAAAACTGTGAAAAAACACTTCCCTCCAAATAAAGCTTTGGAAGATTACTGCAATTTTACCATACCGTTTTCCCCCCATGACCAGGTGTCGGTGACAGACGGCGTCCCTGCTTTGGTGCAGCCCTTGAAGCCCAAGTTCTACTTGACATGCTCCACCATGGTTCCCGCTGGGCACGCAGTGAAGTTGGTGTAGGTTTTCCTTTTGGTAATATCATGGTTGCCCATAGCGCCAGAGAAACAAACATCCAAATCAACACTCGCTGTTCATGTTCTTTGCAGGAACTCTTTAATTTACTAACTAGAATCTCTGGCAGGGGCGTGCCATGACTTCAGGGTTTGGCGCGCAGACTCTTTGCTGGGTATTGCAGTCTCATAGCGTCCATACATTTTGATGATACCAGCGTGGAGTAAAAGTCACATCCAACATCATGGTTATTTGTTCAATTAGCTATCCCCAATGCCAGCATGTTTGGCAGACTATGCAAAGCCATGCCAATCCGGAGCAATTTTGGCTGCATTTTTTGCGAACATCCAAATTGGGAGGATGTCGTTTGCACCAGTGACCGCTCTTAGCGATGAGGAACCGGTGCCGCCCAAAGCACCGCTGCCTGTTCCCGAAAAGCCTGCAGGTGAAGCTACTTTGGCACCTAAGGCACCTAAGGCTAAGGCTAAGGGCAGACCGAAGGTGAAGCCTGGAGCTCCTAAGCCAAAGGCCACTCCGAAAAAGGAGGGAAAGGCTAAGCCCAAGGCTACCCCCAAGTCTGGGCCACCCAAAGCCAAAGCGAAGAACCAACCCAAGGGTTTGAAGAAGCCCGTGGCTGAGGATCTGACTGAGGTGCGGCAGGCAGATCAAGATGCACCTGTGACCAGTCCAGCAACAGCCAAGGGTAAGCCAGGGCCAAAGAAGAGGCCAGCGGCTGCACCCACAGCACAGACAGCTTCAAAGAAGACCAAGGCCAAGGAATTTTCTGTGTGCAAGTACCGTTACAAACAAGGAGGAGCCTGGGGGTTCAAATGGGGTGGAAAAGAACGCCTTCGAGCTACTAGGTTGCTTTATTATGTTGCTTCTAGATCAGTGTCAAACGACTTCAAAACTAAGTCGCTACTTTTTTTGATGATCTAAGTTGCCTCGCAACCCTGACCTCACCGAACAAGATGAAGTCCAAATCACCGAGCCTTTCCAGCAATTCCCACTCAGCTCTGCACTGTGGCCTTTACTCCTCGTGTGGGGCCTTGCGTCGCACCTAGGAAGCAATCAAGGCCGAGCTGATCCGGACCAAGGGAGATGTTGCGGCTGGCAGTGCCTTGCGGGTCACTGGGTTCACAACAGCTAGATTGAGCCCCTGTTGAAACCATCACTTGTTCAATCAATAACTGAGTCAGCTCTCAGGACAGAATGGTTCGGGCAGCTGTTGCCAAGAACAAGGCTTCAGCGGCATCAGCCCAGCCAGCTGCACCCGTTGTTGCCCCCGGGAACGAGGAGGACCCGGCCGAGCCCGATGACCACGAGGAAAACGAAGAAGAAGAAGAGCTTGCCCAAGATGGGGAAGTTGAGGTAGAGGTGGTGTGGGTGGAGATTGGGGTGTAGGTAAAACTTCAACAGGAACCAGAACCATGGTTACAGTCTCGGCCAACCATTTCCCAATCTGGGCCCGCCAGGCCGAAGAGTGAGATCGATGCTGGGGGCCTGCCAAACGTTGATTGGCTACGATGGGGGAAAAAAGGTGTCAATCAAGACTGGGAAAGTTTATGCCAGTAGGTTCTTGAAATGAGAAACTAGTGGATGAACCCACCATGAGTACATCAGGCTGCAGCTTTTGCAGGACTTAATTTTGACACCTGTTTGTTGTCATCCTCAAGCCATGGTGACAAGATTCCAATCATTTATGGGATCCTTGGCCTAAGTGATGCGCAATTATGAGTCCTTCCATGATTGATGCTAGCTGCTAGCACCTCTCATTTCATTAAGGAGTTGGGTGGGATGGATGCCGTGTTCCAGTGGAAAAATATACCTACACCATCGCTTGCCAGTCAAATGGCCAGTCAGAAGCGACGAGTGAAAAGCAAAATGTTGAGGATGCCGACAGCCGCATTGCGGCTTTGTTGGAGTGGATTGTTCAAAGGCTGGTCTTCAATGCCAACAACGAGGTTATTTGTCACGAGGAAATTGTTTACTTCGTGAAAGATGGCCCACATATGGCACAAGAACCTGCAAAATGGCAGGCTACTGTCACTGTCTTTAGTGTTTGGGACCAGCAGCAGCAGGTTATCACCTTCAATTTGAGGGATGAACAATGAGTTTTGATGTGGCCGCTGGAAAATGAACCGCCTCAAGCCTAGAGTTGAACTCTTTGCACTCATGTGAACCCCCTTCTCCGGACATGACCTCGCCCCGGAGGTGCCTCCAGACTGAAACGCTTCAATCCTGGGAAGGCACATGCGAGAGCAGTCATTTGAAACCCATACCCAACCTGCAAAGTTCCGAGAATGTTTACTTTATGAAGGCAGCCTCAACCCAATTCACATCCACATTTTCTTGCCCTTCCTGTCTGGAGGTTTTTCTGATCCCTGTGAATGCGAATGAGTGGCAAGTCTCACCAGACAAACACAGCAGCGAACAGTCAAAGAAATGGTGCATCTCGCTTGACCTTTTCCTATATTGAAGAACTTCTCTATATACCTCCAGCTATTTGATCGACAAAATCGCAAATCGCACTTGGGGTCCCTGGCCTCTTCGTGATGAAGTGCTCGTTCACGTTGCGCGAGCGAGAGCGCGAGAGCGGGCTGCGGTGGGAAGCACAAGAACACTTAAAGATCTAAAAGGCAAAACCCTAGATACAAACCAAAACCCCAGATACCTCTAACTCCCCATATATATATACACTTTTTTCTCGGATCCTTAACTCAACGAATCCAAGTTCTACTCTGTGTATGGTGGTTGTTGGTGCTGCAACTGCCGAGTGTTGCCTGAACAAGTTGCGTTGCCCCGGCGAGCTTTTGCGCACCAAGGAAGACGTTGGCGGATGCATACTTCTCCAAGAAGGCGTGGCGGGAGCCCATGTTGCCTAACAAATGGCTAAAACTTGGTGTCGGGGGGTGATCTTGTTTTCCCATTCCAAACACGCTGTGGTCGTGAACATGCCAGCACTCGTGTGCCGAACTTGGAGGAGGCCGCCCAGGGGATCCATTCAGTGGATGGGACTAAAAACCACTCCATGAAAGCTGTTCATCATGTTATTTTTGGTCGTTTTTTTTTCCAGGACAACTGAAAGGGGGGCCGGCCTGCTGGCATCTATGCCGAACAACCTATTGTGTTGCTATGATTTCAAAATTTGAACTTTAACATCAGGTCCTTTCATACAATGTTCGTGCAACGGCAGGGGAAAAATGGTTTGGAATTGAGTGGTTGCACTCCTTCAAGCTGAACTCTCGACGATTCGCTCGACACCCGGCACGATAGTTGTTCTACGGGAGGGCCGATTCTTCAGGGTGTACCAAACTGGTAGACAGCTACAGCTTAGCTTGAGGGTATCAGGGATTTGTACCAAACTGTGCCAATTTCCTGACGCTACGTGAGACTTGGTGATGTGGCGTCGTTCCTGGCCGTTGGGAGCAAGGGGCATACGGTCTTTGAAAACGTTCTTGGTGTTCTTGGTGATATGTTTTTAAGGGAAAGACATGGAAAGACGACCAATGGAGGGAGGATGCCTTTCGGCACCAATGGAGTGAGAAGCGAGGCAGTTTGGACGTCCTTCGTGGTGTGTCCCAGTGTCCGCACGTTAGACGCTGCTTGTCGCACCATGGTGCGATCGAGTCAAAGACCACCCCGGCGGCCGAAAGGGTGCGCCTGTCCGAGTGAGTCCCTGATGTGCAGAATCAAACGATGAAAACGTATAACTGGTGAAGGATTTGCTACAAATACTGTATAGACATTTGTAGACCCCTTGGTTTTCATAACCAAGGGTCTACGCTCTTTGCAGCTAAATCCTTCACCCGTTTCCATCTGGCAACCTTCAGCTCGAATCGACACCAGTTTCCACCCGAACGCACACACACCCTATAGTAGGAGGCAACCCCTCAGAGCCTGGAACCGCCTGATCCAGGCGGTACCGTTTTGGGGCACTTTCGAAAGATCCCTGAACCTGATACCCGAGGTAATCAACCTCAACCTGTTTCAGTTAGTCTGACTTTACTTCGGTGATTGGCTTTGGGACTCAGAAACTCCTGAGGCCAGTTGATAGTGAATGTCTTTTCTAGGGCAGCGTCCTGCAATTTATCACATGGATTCATCGGACAATTGTCCCCTCCATTGAAGAATCAGTTACATAGGTACCAAATCGATGTTTGTTTCCAAGAACACATCGGACCATCATGTTTCACCGCGATACCTCGATCCGGCGTACACGGGCGAGCGCAGTGGGCGCCCGCTAGCGTGCGGTGTCCGCACACCGCGAGCGGCGACGGTGGAGGCCGAGGTGGAACGACAAAAGGCCAAGCTCCAAGAGGCGCTGCGACGGCGACAGGCCTTGGCCCAGGCGTGGGTTCCGGGGTCCGGGACGGACATGTGTTTGTTTTGATTTCGTGGGGAATTCCAGGAGCGGACCCAACTTGTTTTTGGTTGGGTCCTGAAGAAGAGTTTCTAATATGATCGATTATATATATATGTTTCAAAGGTGGGAGAACTTCCATGTACATTGAGGTCCTTTTCTGTGGGCCTCTCGGGGTATTTTTCAGAATGCTTAGAGCCTGCTGAGAACCCATGGTGTCCACGAAGGTACTTTTTATAGTTTGTTGATGATGTGAATGAGTTATCTATCCTCCATCCTTGGTGTTGATGGACTCATATTTGTGGAGCTTCCTATAGATCTTAAGGTATTATGTTGAATTGCCAACCAAAAAAGCAACCCAACATTGGACCACAATGGACTTAGTTTACTGACCACTCGCGGAGCAAAAAAGGTGAGGGTTGGTACATTTCGGGGACCCACCCCTCAACAAGCAATTTCCAGTGCTTCTCAATTGCCACTACTGTAGTAGTGGTACCCAGTGGTAACCATGTATATGGACAACTTGAGTCATTTTGGGGCCTATAGAAACTACCCGAACGCTCCAAACACAGCCCTTGATCATCCTTGATCCCTCAAAACCTAAGGATTGGTTCGACCCCAGACCCCTGACGTTCGGATTCGGGTGACCCCTGACCCGAGGTTCAGGCCCAGGGTCGCGTCTTGGAGAAAGCTTCAGAGTAGGACATGTCCCTCAACACCTCGGAGATGCGGACAACCCGAGGCCCAAGCCGACGTCGACGAGGCCAAAGCAGAAGCAGGCGCGCAAGCAGGCGCGCAAGCAGGCGCGCAAGCAGGCGCGCCGGTAAGGCAGCGACGATGCGGGTGAGAGGTTGAGCAGGAAACTGCTCTCACATGTGTGGAAGATCTGCTCTCACGACGTGCAGGAGTTGGGTGGTTCAGACAACTCCTTCCCCCCCACCCCTTTAGAGGTCCAACGGGGGGGTATGAGTAGACACTATGAATGGCCAGGAGGGCTGCCAGCGAAGACGGTGGATCAGCTTTGCCTGTAACATCCCTGAACTCTTTTTATATGGATCATGTTTGTTGGCCATTGCTTTCTCCACCAATTCTGAACCCATTCTGTTTAATCGTTTCTTTTGCAGGGAAACGGCTTCCTTTGTCAGCCATGCTTCCTCCGTGAAACTAGCTGGCTGGGCTGCCTGGCAGGGTGGCTTTCCAGTAATTCGTGCTCCCCTCAGAAACCCAGACACACCACGTTTGGTTTAAAGCTTACACTCCAAGTCACACATGAGTTGGATACCGCCCCACCTGTGAGTCACCTCTTTGATCTTTGAAACACCACCATGTTGGATCTGATTTCTCGGATTGTTGTTTGTTCCGTCCTACGTTGGCCATGAATTCAGGGAGTTTTGGGTTTCACTGAGCCCAGAACAGGGTATCATGCAGGGAGGTTCTACAAAAAGAGTCAGAGGCCGAAGAAAACCGCCAATCTGGGATGAAATGACCACTGGTTCGACCTGGTTCGATCAGGGATGTCTTTCAGGTAGGATGTCACCAAGCTGCGAATTCATGATAGCCCGGCAGCACCCCGGAAAAGGTGGTTTATAGACCCCTGACTATGTTCTTTCAACAAAGAAAAACACTTTCCGTGGTACTGGTGGTTTGATGTCCTTTTTTACTTATATCCCAGACACGACCCATGGGACTGCCATAGGACTGCCTTCAAAACGGCAGATCGGGGTGGTTCACTGGGGGTCTGGCTGGGGCGGCAGTCCGTCCTGGCAGTCCCAGACAGGTCGTGTCTGGGTTATACCAGCAGTCACAAGACGGGGTGCCTATTGGAGGATAGGGGTGCCCAGAACATCCACTCACTTAGGGACTAAACACCACCCCGTCTTGTGACTCCTGGTATAGACTCTTTCCTGGAGTTCTCTGACGCTGCATCGCCTAACAGGTCTGGAGCCGGAGCGCCGCTGAGAGCTGAAGCAGCTGAGCCAAAGAGACGCCGCAATGCGTTGAGACGGAGGGGCGCCGGGACCTCCTGGCGGGGGCCGACCTGCAGCGTGGGGTGAGACCACATCCCCCAGTCACAGCCCATCATCGGAAGTGGCAGGGACCCATATGATGCATAGACCATTTCGAGGACCCATAGACCAAGGTCGAAAGGATTGGAGCTTTCATTCACGATCAACAGGTCGATTTACTACCCATTTTTTGAGGAGTACGAACTGAATGGAGTGCAGTGTAGATGGGCACTGTACCCTGTTTGTAGAGAAGCCGTGTCTTCCGACTTGTCCGGAGGGTCTATGCCCATCCACGCAATCCCTGATTAGTTCAGGGACTGTTTGTTTGCGTTTTGCTTGTAACAAGACCTGAACACCCGTGTTTCTTATCTTCACACTTATAAGCTCTATTGGCCATACCGAGACACTCCATGTATGGAATATATGCCTACATTGACCCCTCAAACAACCCCAATGTAGGCAGGCATACATGGCATACATGGAGTGTCTGGGATAGACAGGGAAAAGACGCTCTTCTCTAGAACATCATCTTTTCAAGGATCCGCCCTTCACGTCTTCATGATCAGTGTATACGATGATTTGGGTTGACAGCAACATCATGAAGTCTACAGCAACATCATAGGGTCATTCAAAACGTACCACGTGAGCTATTGGTGTGTTTGTGAGCGTATGCCCCCACCAACAAAAGGGGTATTGCTCGTGCATAGAGCTCTAGATCTTTGTTTGGATCCTGAAGATTACCCATCTAAGTTCCAAACTCCCCACCAGCGACCCTTGTCCAGCCGCCGTTGGGTCGCGCCCCTGGTCGAGTCCATTGGGGTTTGTGACAAGAGGTTCGTCGTCGTCGTCGTCCCAGTTCGATTCTATATATCCATGGATAGCACCCCGTTTTCTGACTGCTGGTATAGGGATCGTCCCAGTCTTCCACTTACGACCATGTCGATGGGGCGATCAGTTTGGAGTCCCCAAACTGATCCAAGTCGCGCCCCAACGACCGTATCCCTCTCTTCCGATGATTTGTAGGTGCTTCGGCGCCCCAAACCGTGGCCGACCATGGCCATTGCAGCCACGGCCCTCGGAGTTCAGAGGGGTTTCATCTGTTCGGATCCGCACCACGTCCGATCCATCGGGCCAGGTGGACTTTTGGGCTATCCTGGAGGGCGCGCCGGATGTGCAGCTCATGGTCAATGCGCCTCGGCGTGCGGGTGGCGCGGGGTTTGTGTGCACCGCCGTTTAGCAGCGCAAGCCATGAAGCACTTGGGTCCGGGCGCAGTTGGGGCATCGCGTGGATTTGGTAAGGCCGTTTTGCATCGTTTTTGGGGGGCAATCCTTCTAGGCTTCCAAGATCTTCCAAGCACCACCAATGTGAATTGTTCTGCTAAACAACGCGCAAGAGAGTTGGAATCTCGGGCGTTGGAACATGCATGGTCACCACCATGCTCCCGCCGCCGAACTTCCTCGGGTGTCGAAGCAGAGACACCTAAGGCGAAGGATGTGAAGATGCCGGGAGCCTTAGGATTTCGGTCGAACAGGGATCGCTTTCGCCCAAAGCTGAGCTGTACGAGGACCCGCATGGTTGCGAGGTTGCGCTGGAGAGGGGTTGGACCCCAACCCAAACCTTCTCTTTTGAGGGTCCTTTCTTCTGAGGGCTCAAGGGTTTTCACCCCATCTCGATGGCCCAGCCGCCGTGTCTTACTCTTCACCGAACAGCTGTGTCGGAGCTGGTTCTTTGGAGCTAGTTCACCGAGACTGGGTACTGACGTCACAATCAGGAGTAGACGTCACTGGGTCCGGGAAGTGATGGGAAGATTCTAAGAATGTCAAAGGTTTGTTGGAATACCTTTACATGCCAGCTGCCAGCTTCTTTACAGTGACCTTTTTGGAGTTCCTCATGTGACCATTTCCAGGCCAAAGTGACCTCAAACCAAGGGATCAAAAGGTCACTTTGAAGAACCTGGTGTGTAGAGGACGTTCATGTTGTTGCCGCGCTGGCCGATGCTGACTGGATCGGTGTTCTTCGATTTGGTGGAAGGACTCCCCAAGATATTCCCGGTTCTGGCCTGTTAACCACTTTTTCATTTGCAGCAACCTGGAAAGAAGAATTAGTATTGGAATCCCCAGGTTCTCCGCTTCCTCATCTTGGTGAAGAAGATCTTCCCAACTTCCACCTGAAGTGGTCACCGGCAGGGCGCTTCGAAAAATTGGATGCCACCGGTTCCGCGATTGGAGTGATTCGACCGTCCCACCCACAGCGCATCATCGTCCTCGTTCGCTCCACATCGTCCGTAGCTAGCTTCCCACTCTTCGTAGCTTCGCCGTAGCGTCGCCCTCGCGGCTCAGGTGTATGAACACGCAGGTCAAGGTCCAAAAGCCTTTCGAGTCGGTCGGGAACCCCCGAGCCGGTGAGAACAGCTGCAGCTGCCGTGCCGGACGTCAGATTCGTGGAGGAGGAGGCTTAGTTGATCATTGTGTGCTTTGAGGGGGTCTACACTCATGGTGCAATTCAAGAACTAATAAGCATATGCATCAGAAATCGACTGCGTCGTATAGTTGCAGACTCGACTGCGTCTTCCATGCAGCTAAGATATTTGCTGAATTAAGTATATAACCTATATAATCCACTTCTGCGCCGCCCTGGCGTCCTTTTTGAAGTGCCGCACATGGAGCGGCAAGTAGCTGATCGTGTAGCTGTGCTCATTCCCAGACACTATAGGGACTATGGCATACATGCCGCCCCAGACATCACCCACCTGGAAACCAACCACCCCTGGCCTGATCGGATTTCATATGCCAGTTATGCCAGTCCCATGTATGGTCTGGGATTGATTTGCACATATTTGCAATTTTCCCAGCTTGGACTTGGGAATGAGCAGTGAGCAGGGTTCCCCAACAATCCACTTCAGTTCTCAAATCAACATCTTTGGTCACGGGTCTTACGCTCAAAAATTCAGCATGTTGTGATCACTGGCAAGCTCAAGTACAAATACCCAGACACTCCAAGGGACTGGAATATAATCCTATACATTTACATGCCAAACCGCCCCAAACCACCCCAATGTTGGCAAATATGCCATACATGGAGTGTTTGGGATTGAAAGTGTTAGCGTTTTTGGCGGATATGGGATTGTGGATAGGACAGGTTCCAGAAGCCAATCATTACGCACCTGACTCAGGTGCCCAAGAAGCTGCAAGAATTGGTGGAAGCAGACACAGGCTGGGCATTTGCCACGGCTGTGGAACTTCCGTCTAGAAGAATCCAGCCAGCGGAGCCCTTCTTGATCATCTTCTTCCTTTTCCTCTTCTTCCTTTGCCTCTTCTTCTTCCTCTTCTCCTCTGCCTCTTCCTCTTCCTTTTTTCTCTTCTCCGCTTCTTCCTCTTCCTCCTTTTCCGCTCTTCTTCCTCTTCCTTTTTTCTTCGTCTTCCTGCTCCTGTTCCTTTTCCATCCTTTTCCTCTTCCAAGCCGGATCTATCTTCACAGGCTTGGAGCAAACAAAAAAGTGCAAAGACAGAACAAGAGAAGAACAATGGCATGTTCGCAACATGTACAATGTGAGTAGAAGTACAAGTCATCTGAACTCAATAAACTTAATGATGTACAAATTGCAGCGCAGCAAGCAGGCTTTCGTCACAATCATGTTCCTTCATTTTTCCCTTAAAGTGCGTATGCAGGCCCAACGTCACTTAAAAGAAAGAGAGCTGAAGACAAAAGTCCTCAGGTGAAATACAAGAGGTGAGACAAGTGAAACGGTCCACACTCCTCAGTCCTTCATTCTCCTTCTCATGCCTCCTCGCGGGATGTTCAGAGTTCCCCTGTTTCGGAGTCCGCTGTGCCGGTCGCAGCGGCGCGTCCTCCGCGCGGCGACCTCGTCCACCGAATCGACCCGGAGGTCGGTCGCAGCGCCGAAGCGAAATCGGTGGAGGTCGATTCGATCGAAGATCTGGTCCCCCCCCAAATGCTTAGTAGGGAATAAGGGAATGAGCCCCCAATAGAGATTCTATTGGATCCATTCCCTCATTCCCTGCTAAGCACCAGTCAGTAATTGAGAGGAGGTTCGGCTGAACAAACTAGTTGCCTCCATCGTATGGGCTCTCAGAAGGTGATTGGAGACACTTTTAAATTATGATCTTTTATGTATAGGTTTGGAGGGTCCAAGTACCTTCTGACAAGGTACGACTGGATCCCTAAGGATACAATTGACCCACTGAAATCAACCACCATGGGGCAGCTAGCCCCTCCAATTCACTCGGAGCTGCCATTCTCCCTCCGTGCGGGTCAGTCCACTCCAGCCACCAGGGCGCATGCCACCTTACCCCCGAAAACATTACCTGTTTGGAACCAGATTTGTAGATCAGTTGTGTGCGGTTTTTTTTGGGGGGGTGAATGCATCGGCATCATCTTCCATGTCCCAGTTGTGCGGCCGCGTTTCGGACACATGACTATATATATGACTATTCGGAGCTCTAATGCGACACTATAGGACCGTCAAATCACACCTTGCAAGTCCGCACGAATTCATGGCATGTGTCCCTATTTCCCATGGTCGTCTTTGGGTGTTTTCAGCTCGGCATCGTCACTTGCGCTGCGCTCGCCTGTCGTGGACCGCTCCGTGCGGCGCGAGGCGGTCTACGCCCGGAAAGCTCCTTGCTCTTGCAGGCGGGTGAACCTGACGGAACCGTCCGGGTGGTGGTGGGTCGGTTTCAATGCACACCGGTGGCGGCGGGTGGAGCGGCGGGTCGCGGTACTTGGCGTGGAATTGTTCGGTGTGGATGGTAGATGCCTGGTAGAGCGGACCCATGTGGTTTTGTGGTTTGGTTTTGATTCAGAAGAAAGGTGATCCTTTTGTCATTGAATTCTGGGGCCTCGAACTCGAGGTCTCTGTGATTGATCGAGTCTCTGGAACCATTCGTTGATCAATATCCCAGACACTCCATGGGACTGCCATATATATGTATATGCCGATCAGTTGGGGTTGTTTGAGGGGTCAATGTAGGCGTTTGTATTCCATGCATGGAGTGTTTGGGTATTGATGTACTGGATTGACGAGAATGTCATGAGAAATGGTTCAA